TGGGACCCAATTATGGGTCATGAAGCACCTTGGATAATCTCCAGAAATCAATTTAAAGGGTAATAAAATAATTGCTGATGTAATATTTTTCCTATAACTATTACAAAAACACAAAATAAGTATAAATAAGTATTTATATTTGTGTACAAGTTGTTTAGATTGTCAAAAAAGCCTGTGTTTTTAGGGTTATTAACGAAGTTTGTGTACTCAGACGAGTAATATTTGGGGTCACAAGTTTTTGCCATGGATATTTTGTGGGTCAGAAGATAAAAAGTTTGGGAACCACTGGTCTATGGCAATGAGGTACAAATCACTGATGACATTTGATATRCCTCATTGGTCTATGGCTTCTGTTCAGAAGCATTAATTTTATTTCTTTAGACCTTATGGGTGTACAGATGAGTTTAGTCAGCAATCAGAATTTGAGCCTTTTAATTTTATTCAGCATTTTAGTTTTATGTTTGACATTAGAAMAAAACATGTTTCTTTTTTATCTGAAGGTTAGAGGCCAGTCTTGTTCTTGCAAACATTTCTCTAAAATTACCAAGATTACATGTTAAATTTTAAATGAAATGGGTATCAATAATAATATACAAAGTAGAAGTATTAAACATCTCAGCCAAATTACTTTACAATTTATCACGAACGTCCTAATAGGAATATAAGTCAAAACTTCCACTCTTCATTATTGCATCTCATCTTTATGAACAGCTRATATAAGTTTTAAGAGTTGGACAGTTTGAACTTAAAACTTTTCTGAGTAACTGGACTAAAGAAAAAAAACACAGATGTATTAATGAGACCTAACAGATCAAAAAGATCACAGTAGGCAAATACTGGCAGTGTTGCCAACTCCTGAGCGAGAAAAGTCCCTATTGTCTGTCCTAAAAGTCGCTAGACGTCATCACTTATTTTCCATAGTTGGATGTTTGCCAGTAATTGTGATCTTAGTTATAGGAGATGATGAAGAGAAAAAAAGTGAATAAAAACACTAAATACGTTTAGAACTGCAATTAAACTTAATGAAATAAAAATAATTTTATGACTTCAATGCTTAGATCCACATTAATTAAAATTGTGGGAATCTTAAAATGAATCTGCAGACTGTTCGATGTCATGAGGCACCGGGAGGAAGAGGTGAAGCAGTGACTGATCTGAGAGTCAAACACAGCTGGCTCCAGAGATTTGGTTTAGAGACACTATCAGAGAAAAAACATTACAGTAAATATTACATCCCGCTCTGTAAACCAGGTAGAAGTAGTGGCAGCTTTGCACATGCGTGATTCGCTTGCAGCTGTCTCCTCTCAGCTGACTTCAGCCAGGGTTGGGGGGAGAGGTTGGGGGTGCTGCACGGCTTCAGTGAGTCTGACGGCATTTGGAAGGGGCAGGGGCTCACTTCTGTGTTCGCTGCTTGCAGAGGAAAGGAAAAAAGTGCTTGGAAAATAATGTCGACAAAGCACCTAAAGTCTCTAAAACACTGAGAAAAGTCACTAGATTTGTCGCTAGTCACTTTTTGAAAAGAAGAAAAAAGTCACTAGAGGGGTCTAAAAAATCTCTAGATCTAATGACAAAGTTGCTAAGTTGGCAACACTGAATACTGGTTAAAAAAAAAAACGGAAAATCTCCCAAGATTTTTTATTGTCTGTAATACAACCAATAAAAATTTTGTAACCACCAAACAAACAAAAGATTTTAAAAATCTACCAAAAAGTAAATTCACAACAGTTAAAGTCACTTACACAAAAATAAAAAATCATTTGGATAAAAATGGCAGGAACTCTCATTTGGATTAAAAAAAAAAGTCAGCTGTAATTTCTACTAAATTTGTTAATGTTTTTTTTTACCCTTAATCTGTCGGATTTCCAGCAGGACACCAGATTTAATTTAAGTGAAGAAAGAGCTAAATTCATATATCTGATTATTTCCACTTAGCCATTTTCTGACTTAAGATCATCTACTACTATTGTTCCTTTTATTGTCAAGATTCCCTGCAAACTTGGGTACATTTAACTGATCACTGACTGATGTGTTCATCAACTCTTCCTTTAAAAACACAAATACACTCAGAAGTTTTTTTCACACAATTGAACTGGTAAAAAAAAAAAAAAAAAAAAAAAAAAAAAAAAAAAAGTGTCCAAAAGTAACACTGGCTCTGTCCTTCAGCTCAGTAGTGACCTGTAAAAAACAATAAATCAAGTAAGTGATTCAGTTACAATGCATCTTACCGGAAATCTAACAAATATTTCCATTTCCAGTATGTTGTTAGAAATTGTTGAAAATGATAAAGCAGGAACTTACGGGGCGAGTAGGAACGGGATCGAGAGCGGTAGCCTCTGCTGTAGTATGGAGATGGAGATCTGCGCCTGTAAAAGGAAAAATATTCATTAGTTTCCTTAAAAAAAAAAAAGATTTTAAATTTCTTTAATATAAGCTCACCTGTATGATCGGTACTCTCGCTCATCATAGCGATCATAGTCACGATCATAACCCCTGTCATAGCCCCTGTCGTAGCCTCTATCATAGTCCCGTGAGACACGGCGAGATGAACCGCCGCCGCTGCCACCACCGCCTCCTCCTCCACCGCCGCCACCACCACCCCCACTGCAAGGTCACAGAATTAACTGTTTTTTGGATACTTTAGCTGGTCACACAATAAAAAGATACCTGTACCTGAAAACCAAGTAACTACATTTTCAAACACTTACTACGTGGGACGTCCCATGTAGATTCCAGGCGTGGGGGTGTGGGCTCGCTTGGTAATTGAAAAGTCCACTCTGATACGGCGTCCGTCCAGCTCCATGCCGTTAGCGTGCTCTTTAGCCTAAATGACCGCACCGTCACCATCAGTATCACCAACATTGCTACAGTTTTAATCCAAATCTCTACTCATACTAACCTCCTTGGAGTCCTCGCTGTTTTCAAAATAGACAAAGGCGAAACCCCTCGAGCGACGGGACTGTTGGTCATACACAATGTTGACGTCACTCAGTGGGCCATATTTAGAGAAAACCTCCCTCAGGTCCCTTTCTGTGGTGTAGAGGCTGAGACCAAACACTCCCAGACAGGCGCTGATGTTTGGGTTAGCCTGGTGGAGGAAATCAATGAAAATGTCGTGAACAAAAAACTTAAAATGTTGATAAATTTATGATTTTTACATGAAAATTTGAAAGTTCTGATGCTAAAAGACTTATATTGTGAATTTTAAACTGAAAACCTTTAAAATGGGGCTCCAAAAAATGGCTTTTGCTCAAGATCTTGTTAAATCAGCTAAACTTGACTTTAAGTTTACTTAGTTGAACACTTAAGTACAAAGAAGTAACACGGTACCCTGTTCCCAATGTGTCTGCGCCGGTTTGACATGGGAGAACGGCTGTGGCTCCTGCGCCGACGGTACTCCGAGCTACGAGATCGGCTCCTGGAACGTCGGCGCCGAGAGCGGGAACGAGAGCGGGAATATCGCCTGCGTGAGCTCCGATGAGAACGAGACCTATGGAGAAATTAAAAATTTTTTTTTATTGCTTATAAAAAGGATTAAAATAACCATCTAATTTTGTCATCAACTTAAACTATGCAGCTTTAACAACAAACGTTTTACCTGGATTTGGATTTGGATCTGGATCGAGAACGAGACCTAGACCTGGAACGGCGAGAGCCATCTTTGGAGCGTGCAGGTGAGCGGCTGGCGGATTTGGCCGAGCCTCGAGGGGACGCRCTCCTCGAGCCTCTGTGCGAGTCCTGGGCAGACAAGACACTCGAGTTAGAAACACACTGCAAAGAAGTCCACACCAAAGGGCTAGGAGGTGACAGCCCTCACCTTATGATTGCCCTTTACAGAGGAAGTTTATTATAGCACAATATTTAGCTGATTTAACGCAAAATATTTGTAATTTTGCTGCATGGCAATCACATTCAACATATTTTTAAATATGCATAATTAGCTTATAAGAAATGCCACAAGAATTAATTTTAAAAAATTGGAGGGATTAATCATTGACGTGTCTAATAGAGGTAAAAAAAGGGTAAAATTAATAAAATAATAAAGAAATCGAGCATGCTAAGGAGAAAGAAACGATAAAATAAAGTAATAACATAGCAGGTTGTTAGGAAATCGCTCATACCCAGGTAAACTTCTGATCTTAACTTCATAACTTCTTTAACTTCATTACTTCATAACAACCCTTCATTTCTTCTTTCTTCCGTTTGAAATTCTGACTTCTTTTTTCCTCCTCCTCTTCCCCATTTTTTTACCATCTCCCATTACAACACTAGAAGTGGGGTTCAGATCTTGATCGCTTCTTTTCAGCATCCAATACATTAGCATGCATCAACAGCACCAGCTTCAAATATTAAAAACGTCACATCAGACACGTCTTGGGCCTTTTTCCTTCTTCCAACCTTAACCTTGACAAAAAACAAACAAGGGTGATAAGGTAAGATGGTTCTGAACGTTTATTTGTTTGTTTTTTTAACTAAAATGTTTAAGAAAAAAAACCAAAAACCTAGGAATAAAACAAACTGCTGCAAGTTATATTAGCTGATCTTTGTCTTTCACTACAATTTAGCTGCAGAAAAATTGAGATTATATATAGTTTGTTACTGTAATCCATACTTAGTTTTAACTTCTCTAATTCTTCTTAATCAGGGGTCTGCAACCTGTGTACTGTAGTAGCTGTAACCAAAAAAAAACAATAAATACTGAACACTTACTATGAGAAAGAGAAGAACCTTTCAGGAATTTACTMATGGTTTTTAACACAAAATACTTGCATGATTTTGTAGAAAACATTTGTTGCTTGTCTCTAATAAAAGCATGGTAGTCCAAGCAATAAAATATTTTTCTGGCTTAGAATAAATGCAGTTAAATGATAAGTAAGCAAAGTGAGCATTCTTTTGCGTTTAAACTTCTACATCTTGTGTGCCAATTCAAAATTACGTTTAATATCCATTTTTTACTCAAATAAGTAAGTAGCCTAAACAATCCTCCTTGGTTTTTGTATTCAAATATATTCTTTTTGTCTAACAGGTAAATATAGCAACAGTAATTATA